TTAGAATTTTATACCATACACGCATCACCTCCTTGTTAACATAAATATCACAGCTCTCCTCCATACTGAACTCTGTGTATGACCATCCTTTCTCAGAGGTGAGCACCATCAACTCCAGACGTCCATCCTCGGGATTCTCATTATCATTATCATCCTCTACAGAACCCTTCCTCACCTCATCGTCTGTCCACAGTTGCGGTGGATGCCCCTCTTTCACTTGCATACCGAATCCCTCACCACCAACACCCTCCACATAGTGCCATGTCGCATTATACACAGATTCATATGCACCTTCCACCACCACGGCAATGTCATACCACGTCCATCTTGGTTGAGGTAAAGTTTCCACTCTTACACGTGCCGCTGGAGGTTGATCATAATCATTTTCTCCTCCTCTTCTTGTCATCACATCACCGTGCGTGTGTTCCACACTCGTCAAATCTTCCTCTTCATTACTCGCATGGACATTCATTCCTTTTATCCTTTTTTTTCTCCTTCTCTTGTTAATCTTATTATTATTTTTTTTTCTTTTTTAATACTCACTCACTTCTGCAATACCAAAACAAAAAGAAAGAGAAATTTGGTGTGAATCATAAATACTCTTGATCCCTGAGGGGAGTATATCGGTATAGTAAACAAGTCTTCTTATTGTACCAATAGAAAAAAAAAAAAAGCATCTCCTTTTATCACCTGATTGGAAAGTATATTGTACGATCATGATGTTAATACCAAGAAAAATCAAAACTCAATAAAAACCACAGCCAAGAAAAAAAAATTATTGTTAGTGTATTCATTCAGCACGTCTATTACATCAAAAACCAGGGCATGCATGGGAAACCCATTCTTCCCACTTTGATTTTGCATTTACACCACATAAAAAAATTTCTAAATAGTTTTTTTTAGGGCGTACTAGTTGCTAGAAGAAACACAGAAAAAAAAAACAATTTTTTTTTTTTTTGGTGATATCGTGCTAGGTGAAATATAAAGGTTTTACATTGTTGCTATCTTGCTGAAGTATCGTAATAAAAATCTTTCTCTGTATTTTATTTTTTTTTATTCTTCATTGCTCTCTATTATAAAAGAGAACAGCTCAGACCACATTGATTTTCCGTTTGACTGTGGCTCAAGTATCTAGAATTATATGCTCCCGTGCCTGACCGTCAGTGTCGATAGCTTTACATTGACGGATAGCGTAAAGAATTCTCTCTTTCATAGACTCTGGAGAAGAGTAAAAAGGCAAACGAAGTGTAAAAAAGCAGGTACTACTGGTCGGAAGAGAATCCTGAACCCCACTTCGCTGAACCTTTATTGGCTCCTTTATTGGTAATCTCGTTTGACCAGTTGTGAAGCGTAAGAGTAACATTCGATCTTCTTCAGTCATAGATTCAATAACCCCTAAAAACATCTGTGTATCATTTGGAGGCAAGCTTATTTGGCAAACCTTGCGTAAAGCATCATAGGAGAGTTTGGGAGTTCCACATACCATCAGTTCAACCTGCTGCCAACGAAACGCATTTAGTGTATACAGTGGAATAACTTCATCAAACCCATGTTTAATGTAATTCATCGCAATATCGTATTTATGCAGCTCTAGAAGAGCAATTTGTTCAGATAGTATATTAGCGCAATGCGTGTTGCTTGGTGGAAGTTCAGAATCCAAAGAAGCGTTAGGATTTTCAGCGCAAAATGTCATCCAAGATTCTTGAATTCCTGGAAACCTTTCTTCTAATTCTTCTGCTGTACGATCCATTAACTCTTCAGGTGTTAATTGTCGAAGAATGTCAAAATCAATGGAAGTAAGATCTCGTGACGATACATCCTCAGATAAAAGAAGTTTCCAGAACAACGGTGGAAACTCCACCGCAAGTAAATCTTTTGTCACAAAACATGCAGCAAGTAATCTTCCAAAAAATTCAAACATAAGAGATGATTGAGAACTTAATGCAACAACCACGTTAGGCATCACAGCGGATTGACCACCGCGACCACAAGGTGCAAAAAGAGGATTTAGTTGAAAAGTACCATTTGGATGCGTCGTCATAATCTCAGTAGCTAACTGTGAAAGGACATCACGATATGGACCTCCAGCATCAGTAGAACCAAATCCTGCAAGTTTTACCGTAAACATAGGTGAAGCATAAAATATAGAAATAGGACTTCGTTGAAGTTGAACAAAAAGTTGACCAAATACCGATCGCATAAGAGTTGGGTAGGGTCCAAGTCGTACAGATGGACGAGCTTGCATTGTATGAATAATAACATTAGCTTTACTTCCTGAACGAAATCGAAAAGGTTTCATAGTCTCATTTTGAATCTTTTCAGAAGATTTAAGAGAACAAAGATTTTTAAGCTTTTTCCACAAATCAAACAACTCTGTTTTTCGTCTTAGATCCACCACAACAGAGAATACTGAGGTAAGAACATCAAATATTCTTAAACGTTTAAGGTATGGTAACAATGGAAACAAAGGAACTTCATTACTAAATGCACTAACACCCAAGAAAGCTGACAAGAGGGGAAAACTCGCCAAATCATGTGAATGAACGCTTTCTGGGACCTCAGTTTCTAAAGAAGCAAGAGAATCTTTTGAGTTTATAACAGTTTGACAAAAAAGTGCCAATTCAGCATAAAATTCATAAGATTGAGGAACGACATCAGTGTCAACACGATTTGGAAACTCCTGAAGTTTATTGTAGAGCTGAGCAACATCTATTCCTGGAGAAACATCTGAAAGTGTGTCTCCATTAAAAGTTGCATCTTCCATCTTTTCAGTAAAAAAGACTGGAAGTGCAAGCATTTCATTTGGATATGTTTCAAAACGAGTTGTTGTTTCATTGCGTACACCACGACGAAGATTAATAATAATAGCTTGTTCATGATATAAACATTTTACAACAATAACATCTCCTCCTCTTGCTCTTACTTTTAAAGGTTGAGATTCCTTCTTGTGACTTAAACATATAAATACCTTACCACTGGTATCAATAAAATAACCACATGATGGTAATAACGTTCTTGCAGATCCCTCTATTAATGGTTGTTCCGAAATAGACCCTGGTAAAGTTGCATCCATATCCCATCCAACAACAACATTACCACTTCTTGTATTATTTAGTACCACTTCAAATTTTTTAGTACCAAAAGTGCTCCTAAAAGTTTCTGAAAATACACCATAAGATGATTTAAATCCTTGGGGAGAAGGAGTACTTGTGCGTATTTCATACTTAATACAATGACCCCCTTGAGGTTCTTCTGCAAGAGCTTCAGGTAAAGGAAGCGGTGGATTAGCTGTAATAACTGAAACTGCAACTTTAGTGCAAGTAACAATCGCATATGGTACTGCAGAAACCCTACCAGGTGCCACTAGTGTTGGGCGCTCTAATTGATATCGTGATATCATTTCACAAATAAGGGAAACTCCAAGTTGAATAACAGTAGAAGACATTTTGCCTCTTCGACAAAGTCCATTCATCATACGCAATAGAGGAGCAAAAGAAGCAGTTAAAGTCTCATGTGAGGGTAGAGCACAATGTGGATTTTTAATTAATATAAGGGCACAACGAAGAGCCATATGCCTAATAGAACGAGAATATATTGTAGCAGTATGAAATAGTAATAAAATTAGGGTTGTCCCATATGAAGAAGATAGGATCTGTAATATATTATCATTCTTTAATGATACAAAGATGATATTAATACTTGCCTCCACCTTTTCAACAGTTTGAACTATTTTAGGGGTTGCAAGACAAGCATATGCTTCTGCAAGTAATACAAAAGAGTTTCTCCTTATTTCTGTATAAACTAAATTTTCTAAACCCAATAAATCATTACATAATGGTGTAAAAGGAAGTAAAGATCGTAGTATTTTTTGGGTTTTTGAAAGTTTTGCAGCTAGAATGACAGTTCCCAAAAGTTGTCTAGCATATGATACCATCACTGATTCAATCTGTGATACAATACCAAAATCAGCATTACGTGAAGAGTGTGCAACCATAGCTGATCGTGAATGACGAGTTAGAATACCTACAGAATGTGAAACATTTGGTGAAATATCATTAATGTTAAACTGACTCCATATGGTTAACAATGCGTCCCTTGAAAGACTTAGTTCAATATGTTCACACACTCGCCAGCTCAAAATTCGAATATAAGATCCTGGGCCTGAGAAAGAAAACCTTAACTGAAATTCTGAAGGACAATCTAATGCGGGAAGTACCTCATACATTACACCTCCATCAACTGACGCAAATGCCCGTTTAGCCCAAGGGAAGATACGAAGAGAAACTCGAATATTTTGTACAGAGGCTGAAGGAGACATAAAAATATTCTCATTACTACAAAACACAGGTAAAGGGATTTCACTACACCAATTCTTAGAAGGATGTATAAATGCTAACTGTATTGGATTAAATTTCGATGCCACAATTAAAATCTCTACTTCATGAGCTTTTGAACCTTCAAAAATTGGTCTCTGAACATTACAAAATAAACGTTTGCCATGAGAAATTTGTTGCACAAACCCTTTACTCACTTCTAGAGAGTGAGATAGTGAAAATAAAATAACTTCTTCTTCAATCCAAGTTTGTCCAGATTTTATTTCCACCAAATAAGGAGAAATTTCTTTTGATTTTACTACTACTGATTCCTCTTCACTCAATGTTTCTGATGTTGTAGTTAACATCCTCTCAAACATCTTTGGCCTATTGGTATCAAGAGATACTAGATTAATAGAAATAGTAGAATGCCATGCTACTGATGGTGTGGAAGAAAACGTTGGTATCTTTCCTGCTTGCATTGAACACTTTATTGTCACACCATTCAAAACAAAAGTTCCTTGTAAAGAAGCATTTCTTTGAATAAAGACAAGAGCTGTTGAATCAGTTACTGTTCGAATATCTAGCACATCACTACGACAGGTAATAAAAGCATTTATAGGAATATCTTCCATATCATCATCTACAGGACCAAAAGCCAAACGAAGTTTAACTTTAGAAAGGTCATCTGGTAATTTCTTAATCAAACTTCCGTTATCTTCTGATGATAATATTACACTTCGTTCCCATTCATCTATGGAGAGAAAAGCATGCCCATGATTAAGGATTTCTGTCATGTCTAGATGGTTTATAGAAAATTCATCTAAAGATATTACCAAATATAAAGATGTATTTATATGGGCATTAGTCTGCCATACGGACACCACACAAGATGTTGTAATAAGATCAGATATCCACCAAGTTTGTTCTGGTAAAGAAGATGTACCTAAAAACTTAACTCCATTAGTTCCTATTTTCTGAAAGATAAGTTCTCGGTTATATGGATATTGATTAGAATTTATCAATAGTTTTTTTTGTCTATTCCATAATATGTTTTGAAGACTATCCTCAAGATTACACCAAACAGGTGATTCATCCATGTTTGTTTCCTTTACATGATCACTAGGTATCCATTCACACCTTCCACCATCAAGGAAAATAAGATAATCATTTTCGTGAAAATCAAGAACCAAACCTGGTCTAGAGTTTTCCACAATAACAGGTTCACCAATATTTTTCTTTACATAATTTACTACTTCATCAGAGTCTCCCTTGGTTATTTGGCTTCTATATTCACTTCTCTCAGAAGGCAAAACATACGTAATACTTCCTTTAATAAGACGTTTTTGATTCTGAATACCAACAAAGGGAAGCACATTTTCAGATTTTTTACCAACAGTAATACCTAAAAAATCGTTTTCTTCCTCCACTTCTGCCATGTCTGCTTTTACACCATCAGATTCTGAATAAAAAAGAACACCACTACCACTTGTAGTATGAAGATAAAGAGCTACCCGGTCACCTGCTGGAATAATAATAGGTTCAAAATCAGATAATTCCACTTCTACCTTATGAGAAAGTTGCATTTCTCTTTGTAGTACAATTTGCCAAGCAGATTTTTCATTTTCTACACCTATAAACGTTCCATCATGAACAAAAAGAGTTACTCTAGATGTAGCAGTTGTATCAGGAACAAAAGTAACTTTAGTAATCTTTACCCTAACTTGTTTTGCAACCAAATCAAACATAATTCCATTGTATGAACCTGTTCCAGAGTGAAGATGAGCTCCAGTTCGAAGACATTGCTGTGGTCCATCAAGAGTTTGTTGCGATACTTCTGAAAATGCCCCAGTTTGAAGAATAATTTCAGAAATACTCATATCTGTATTCATCATAAGATCCACCAAATTAACAAATTTAATATTTGCAGATAACAAAGAAGAAAAATCTTTAATAATGCGAGCACAACTCCATCTATCACTTTTCATATCACGTATTCCTTTACTTTTTAATTCGTTAGAAGCATAACAATCATCACGTTTTAAATAGTAGATATTCCACAAGGTACAGGAAAGAATATCACTTCCATCCATTCGTAGATACACATTTTCAGGTTTTATATGTCCATGAGAGAAATAATGTAAATGCCAATGTTCTAAAGCACCAATTAAAGACATTGCAATAACTTGTTGTTGCCATTCACTAAATTTTGATAAATAAACCGATTTTAACGTACAGTCATACCATCCATGAGTTATAACACCACAGTAAGATGATGTTTCATTTAATGTCCGTATAATATCTTCTTGATACATTACACATGGATGTTTAGCAACTATATTACATTTATTAATAAATATATTGGATTCTTCAAGGTTAAATAAATGAAGAGTATACTCATTTGGTCCATTTTCATTAAAATATAATAATCGAATCATAGAACTATCTTTTACTCTTCCTATTATTTCATAATCATCTGGTAAAATCATAACAATTTCATCTTTTTCATTTAAATCTGAAATTACTAAAACAGGTTTTTCTGGATATTCTGAAAGACTTTGAACTATTTTTTGTACTGAACTCTTATAAAAAAACTTTTCAATTTCATCTTCTTTTGCATAAACCATACGTCTTGAAAATGCACCTATTTCTACAAGTGATTGAACTGCATTAGATAGACGATAAGCCATCCTAGTAGAATTAAAACAATCATTCCAAGACTTCTCAATAAGAGCCACTTGATGCGATGGAAGAGAATTTATCACACGACGAAAAATGTGAAATATTGACACCACTACACGGAATGGAAATCGACGAAGAATTGAAGGAGTTATGGGGAGTGAACTGAGCATTGTAGAAGGAGATGTTAGTTCTCCTTCACCACTTAATGTACTACAAGAAAAAGGTGATAAAGTAGCTGATGCATTGGCGTGATCTAACCGTACAAAAGGTGATAAAGGCATGTTTGGAGGTATGTTACGAAATACGACTCTTGGGGGTTCATTATCCCTTGCTAATGAAAGTGTACCATCTTCACGATTAAGAATAAAACATAATTTGGTTCCAGCAACAAATAAAGATCCAGATGAATTATTTAAAGGTGAAAGAGGTTCTTGTGTAGGTAAGGAATCATTATCATAGACATCTTGTACAGCCCATACACTATCAACTTGTCTACGCAACATTTCAAAATGTGGTGCAAGTTGAGAAAAAGTTGAAAGAGCAATACCTGCAAAATGACCAGAACCTAAAGAATCACCAGATTCTCGATCACTTCGATCAATCTGCAGAATAAAGGAAGATAATCCATTTATGGGAAGAGGTGAACCAATAACTGCCTGACCTGATTCACCATTACAACTTGCAGTAAGTCCATTTTCTGAAATACTTACTTTATCTGAATCATACAAAACCCATGATGGTGTGTAGGAGTTAGGTTCAGTAGTACAATTAGTATATCGACTCACTAAATCATTTCTCTTTGTAGAACTTGGATGAGAAAGACGAAGCAATAATGAATGTGATCCGGCATTCATTATTGCTACAGTTGCTAGAGATCCATTTACCATTGACAGTAGGGTACTATCAAAAACTATATGAGAGCGAATATTATCATCTTTATCATAAATAATAAAATCTCCGTCTACAGTAAAAGCAATGGTAACTTCTTCATCACGAGATATATTAAACCCACGATGAATCACTTGATTACGACTTCCTTCCCATAATTTTATATTCATCGGTTTGGGAATAATTATTTGTAACTCCAAAAAAAACACATTATTTTTACTTTTAGATGTCAAACTAAGTTGACAAAATCGTGGTTTCCCTTTGGTCCAGTTTACAAAATCAAATTTGCCCATTAATTTACATACCTCATTAGGATGCAATTCCATAATATCGCTACCATTTTCCCACATCCAAACTTGCACAGGAGAAGATATCATAGGTGTAGGAGAAGGTAATAACTTCTCTTGTACATCTAAATAAAGGTGGACATAACCATTATAAGGAAAACATGAAAAATGTAATGAAGTTGCGAATGATGGTAATTCAAGATGAATTGGTCCACCTTTTATACCGTAAAATAATACTGGGTAGGATAGTAAGTTTTCACGAGTCCCATCTTGAAGAATAACCCCAAATGATATAATAAACACTTTAAGAGGACTATTATCAGCGATACGAAAAGGAAGGTCAGAAAGAAACATGACTTTCCAAGCCCCAGTAGAGGAAGTAAAAGAAATAGAGTTAAATGCACCCATAGTTTCATGATATACAAAAGGGCAAATAAAACCAAAAGTTGTATTACTAGATCCACCTTCAAAAAAATATTCAGGAGATATAGTATACTCGGTTGTATGATGATTTTGTACTGAAGTAATACAATTTTCTGTATTATTTACTTTGTGTAAAACATCAAAAGAAATATTGTGTGACGCTGCATTATTTAGAATTAACTTTGCACAAGCCATACTTCTCTCTTTATTTATATTCCAGCGATTTGAAAAATACCTTGATAAAATAATAATAAGACGATCTTCTTCACTTGAGGTAGGTAAATGAATTTTACCAGTTTTTTCACAAATGCTTTGAGAGGCAAAAGGTAGATGACAATCTGGACACTCTATTATAGGAAGTAAACTATCCAATGACAATGTATAACTATTGTTTGGATTTCCCTCTTCTTTTAACAAGACAGAACATTTCTCATCAGGATTACTAATTAAACGAACCAACTTCCGTGATAATTCCATCTCATTAACATTGGCAACTAGTGCAAGGTCTCCTTGACTATAGGCATTAAAGTTTATTTGTTCATTCCCAGCAAGTGGTAGTGTGACGATACTGTCTCGTAAATCTTCAATAGGGATACCTCGCATAGAGCTACTCAGAAGATTTCCTGCAGTTTCTGCATCACATAAAGTATTTGTTTTTGATGTAGCAAATATAGCAAGAGCTTCAATAACACTCTTTTCTTCAAATAGTGTTGTACCAGTAGAAGTTCCACTAACGTATGCAATTAGTGCTGCTAAAATACGAGTAACGACAAAACCTTTCAAAACTGAAAAAACAGCCTGATTACGAGATTGTGAAGGTTTTAACAAAAAAGGACGGTATGTGATGCGTCCACGTAACGCTCTAGGTTCTGCTGGAACTTCTGCAAACGGTATTGGTGATTCACTTTTCTTACCTACAAAAATAGTTAACACACCATCATCCTCAAATTCGTCACCAACATCCCCTACATGTCCATCACTACTATTGTAAAAACGAACCCCACAACTAGATGATGTATTGATATAAATTGCGTACACCTGATTTGCTCGAAGGTGTAAATTAAGTAAACCTGGAGAAAAAGATTGCTTATCCACAAGATAAAGATCTTTAGCAATAACCTGCTGCCATTGTGAAGGTGTCTTTTCAGCACCTTCCATAGTACCTTCTTTCCAGTATATTTTCACATTTACATTATCTGTTGTAGTTTGTGCAACACAAAAAACTTCTTCTAATAAAATATCTCGTTTGCTGCGAAGATCAAACATTATACCATTATAGGATGCTGAATTATTTTGGTTAAGATGGCTACCAGTAGATATAGCAGACTGCTTTTCTGACATAATGATATCATTTGCCGCAGCAGCATAAATAATTCCAGTAAAATCACGAACAGAAAAAAACTTATTTTGCACTTTATAACCATCTTCTGTGGACTTTAGAAAACATGTCAAGGATGCAAACTTTTCTTCTTTTTTTTCTTTTTCTTCTTCTTCTAGGGTTTGACCCACACCCATTACACAAAAGGCATTGAAAATGTATGATCCTCTCTTTAAGCCAATATTCAGACCATCCAAACACAATTCATGTGCATCACCCATAAAAGGTAATACAGTATAGTATGCCCATATCCACTGATGTTCTGTATGCGTTTCCCATACAGAATCATCATTACTAGTGTAAAAGAGTGAAACACGTAACTGTGTCATACCCATCGAATGTCTTACATTAACGTCAAAAAAAATGGGAAGAATAAGTTTTTCAATTACTATTGAACCCTCAAAAACTTCTACTACAAAATTTGCAGATGGTGACAATGACATGGCGCTCGGTTGTCCCTTGAGAATAATAACATCTTTATGCGTTTCATTACTTCCTTGAGTTCTACTAAAGTTCAAAGATGTTTTGTCCATAAGTGAAGGTCTTGTATCTTTTGTTTGCATATACATTATAGAACCACAAAAACCTCGTGGAATATTATTTGTTTCCAAAAATGGTGTACTACTTTCACTTGTACGTCCTACATAAACAGTAAGAGTACCATCATAATCCATTTTACTTGAAATTGCTCCTGTACAACCATCTTCTTTAGAATAATGTCCAACTCCACAATTATGTGTAGCATTTATATATAGAGCAAATGTAGTATTGGGATCTACATGAATTTCAGGAAAAGTAATAGAAAATTGTCGTCCCGAGTGCATCTCTACAAGATTTGAGAATATTTTAGTCCAAGCTGTAGATTCACGTTCATGCATATTATGGGTTCCTTTCTTAAAAAAGACGTCTACACGATGTCGTCCTGTTGTATGCGTCATAACTGATAGACCTGTTAATATAACCGCCTCATGTGCTTGAAGATCAAACATGATTCCATTGTAAGATCCGTTGCACTGAACACGATATTTTGTTTTACCAACCTCAAATATACGTGTAACAGCACTTGAAGGAGGGGTCATAAAAGGATATTGTAATTGAACAACTTCATTTGTATCTTCATTATCAAGCAAGTAAAGTGAACCCAAATGAACAGAAAACCACATTCGTTTCTCTTCCTCATCACGAACATTAATAGTATTATTTTCAATTGAGGTTACGATACCACGTTTGGGTTCATGAGGGCTCCCTGCTTTAAAAATGACTCGTGCACCTGTTTCAATTTCTGTAGAGTTTGCTGCAAGAGCACAATAACGAACATCTTTTTTTCGAACTGCATATCTTCTTTTTCCTTGACACTGACACATACATTCTACTATGCCCACACCTGTTCCAGTTGTTTGTATAACTTTTCCAAGATGGGATTTTCCGTAGAGTGGGGCCACCACAGTAGCAATCATTCCTCGAGTAGAAAGATAGACCACAAGTCGTTGAGGGGTGAGAACCGATTCCACTGGAAGAGTATGTGTCGCTATGTGCAACCCATTGCGATAAACGACGAGAAGATTTTCTTCACGTGCGATGGTGAGGGTGTCACCAATAGCAAACAGGACCCCATTATCTTCCCACTCCACACGAGGTGCTAAACGCCAAGCGGCTGCGGAGTGCGCACGTGTTTGGGCGGCGGTATCGAAAAGAAAGACGGGAGCGGCCGCCAAGTCGTGCGGAGGACCAACGGCGGCGTCCGGCATCAACGCGATGGCGACGGGCGCGGGGGCGGGCGCCAAATCATCGCGTGAGACGAAACCGCCCCCACTGCTGATGCGGCACGTCTCACGGGCAAAGACCGCCACGCGTAGTCGAACATCCTCGCCAAAGGGACAGCCACAGGTGATCATCACAGGATGGGCATGAAGGCCCATAAGTGTCGAACTCATCATCACACGCCCACGTGTTAGGTCTACAAAAAGATAGACAGTAAAGGAGGAGGACATTCCAACACGTCCATCGCACCAAGTTCCCCAAATTTTGTTATTCGCTATTCGACGCTCAAGCTCAGATGTATTAATCACTTGTTTACCACCAGATAAATTGGTTACTCCAACAAATAGACCACATCCCTTTGCTGATTCTCCCTCATCAGTTCTGATAATTTGTAGCTCAACCATAACTTTTGTTCCATGTGGAATTACAGTAGAGCTTACCAAAAGTGTATCAACGTTCAAAGTACAGCTTGACTTTGAAACACCCCCAACCCGCCATAGTGGAATAAATGATTGTAATCCTGAGAAAGGAAAACCATCAACACCAGCAATATGACTCAAACAAATATCAATCTGTTGATCACCATAAACAGAGAGAGGTTCTAGTGTTGCAAAACCAGTGTTTTCCTTTGCTATACAAAAACATCCTTCAATATCTACATTTACACTTTTTTCACTTGACCAAGCAAAGACTGAACTCTCTACAAACTCAACTACCGTACCAACCAAAAGTTCCTTAGGGCTGTATTGTGAGACAAGATAGTCAGGAAGAGGATCTTCTGCTCGAGCTAAGTGAAACATAACTTTAGGGTGCTGCCAACTATTAAAGCACTCAACACATAAGAGAAGTCCTCCTTCACCCTCATACCAGAAAACTGAAAGTTCCACTCCACAAGAACTGCAAAGCAAAGGTTCTGAAGATCCTTTCCATAAGCTAATGCTACTACGAGGGAAAGTATTCCTCGCAGGGAATGTAAGGGTATTTAAAAAGGAGAATATTACAACTGAATCTGGACAAGCTAAAACAAAAGGTCGTAGTTTCTCTCTCTTTGGAATACTTTCAAATAGAATACCAAAATCCACACGATTACCACCTCGTATACGGGAAAAGAAAACTGTACCTTCGTGTTGATTAACTCTAACAATAACAATATCTCCTGAACCAAATAATATATGTTCTGCACTAAAAATCATTCTAGGTCCTACAGAACAATTTACACTGTTTGTCTGATCGGTATCATGATTACAAAGAGCCCAAATTTTTTTACAAGAAGCTACTTTTTCAGGTTCAGTAGGAAGATTGGTTTCTGATGAAACACCGACATATAACAAATTATTCGCGCTTGCCGTTGTCGTGATACTTACAGCAAATGAAAATACACTTTCAACAAGGAGGTTACCACATAGAACAGAATAACCATTTCCTTGTGTTACACCAATAGAAGGAGAAGGACTAAAAATAGAAATACTTGAAAATCGTCTATCTATTGTCACAGGAGTTCCCGAGGGTGTTTGTTCACCATTAACTATTTTAAATGACATAGATGTAGACTGTAACATAGGCATATCAGGGGTTGTACTGGATATAGAGTATTTTAACTCATTTCCTATTACCGGTATACTGTTAAAAAGACTCACATAGTTCAAATTAATAGCATTAGTTGTCACATTAAAGAAACCTCCTTCAATCTCTCGACGACGTTCTTCTTCAGAATTTATCAATGGTAGAATAACTGATGCTTCAAACAAACTCCGACATAATTCTGAAACAAGCCAACTAGAGCACTTTAGACTTTCACTTTCACAGAGTGAAAATAATGGTGGTCTTACAAAAGATGGTTTAATCTCTGAAAATTTTGTAGGAAACAAACGCATATCACTATCAGCTTCAAGATACACAAGAGCTTTTAAAGTTATATCCGAAATAGAATCTACAACAACTGCCCCATGAGTTTCATGCTGAGAATATTCATGACTCTTTTCACCTCCTAAAATTGCTAAAGCTATAAGACAATTATCCATATATTGTTGTGATCGAGGTAAAAAACGATAGATCCATTGAGAAACTGCATTACCAAAATAAGGAACTACATGAAGTTGTTGTAATGTATGAATGGCTACACTACGACGAAAGTGACTTACTAGTGTTTCACAAGGATCATCAGCCTGTGTAGGAGCTTGAATTAATTCACAACTTGCGTCTTCATTGAAATGAAACACAAAGGGATAAAGGTCATCAACTCGTGGAAGATTTGCGAAAGCTAGTCCAATGGGTACCATTTTATCTCTATAATAACTTATTTCACCTAAATCTGCATTCAATTCTACCCATATGGTTTCATCATTACCGTAGATCCGCCGTTGACTACTTCGAGGAATACAGTGCCTACGCAAAAGAAGATGTGGCACCTGATCTTGATCATCTGTATCCTGCAAGACGTAGACGTCATTTCTGCTAATAAGGTTTTGCATATTTGTCACCTCTGGATGTCCGTGAGTGAGACCGATGTAGTAACAACCACCGAGAGGTGCGCCGACCCCCCGGCCTTCCTGCTGGCGGCGGCGGATGCGGAATCCAACGCGGTGCGTCCCTGTCGCGGGAAGGGGGGCCGCGCCGTAAAAAGCCCCTTTTCCCGCCACCGTCGACCCGCCGCCCGCCCACCGCGGGACGAACACCGGCGCCTCCCGCTCGCGGAAGAGTTTCGCCCGCGCGAGTTCCGCAAGGCCATTCACGACAACCTCCGGCGTCACAAAACGCCGAAGCCCCTGCACCGCTTCGCCAAAGTAATCCAACCGCAGGGCTCGTGCGGCGTTTCCAAGACAACGCGCCGCCCGCACCTTCGCCCAGCGGTCGTGGGCATCAATCAACGTTACAGAGCACAGACGAAGGATTTCAAGGTGTGTCACACTCGTGACTGCATTAAAGCGGAAGCAATCAATCACCACACCTACAGTACGGAATAAACGTGCTAACAGATCATTACCATTTCGAAGACGTCGACTCACCTCAGAAGAAGTAGAAGTTGTATCACTATTCATATGTTTAATACGTCGAACAAGTTCTAGCACAATTTCACGAAGGAAAACAGCCGCTTCTTCTAAAAGTCCACAAACGGAATCTTCATTAACAGTAGATTCACTTTTTTCATGAAGTTGAAGATTTTTAAAGCACAGTGTCACCAAATATTGGGCAGTAATAAATGCACTATCACTTAACATAACAGGTGAAGTTAAACGTGTTCGGCATGAACTATGTAATGAAGCAATATCAAACTTAAAAGGAGTATTCTCTCCAAAGTTAACAATTAACTTAACAAGTGAAGACATTGCCTGAACTGCAATAAGTGGTATCATTATAGCAAAAGAGCATCTGGTGGCAATACCTAAAAATTCACCATTTCTAGTAAAAAATACATCATTAAATGGAGCCATAACACCACATCCAATTACATCACCAACACACCATGGTGTTCCAAATCGAATAGGTGCATTTCCAAACTTTACTGTTCCATCTGAACAAAATACTACAGAATTCTCTTTACCTGCTAAAGTTGCTGTTGAAATTGGAGAACTTGCCAAACCAATAGAAACAATTGCCTGTTCATTAAGAAGTAATTCTAATGTAACTTCAAAATAAAGGGCATCTATCATGTCAGTCGGAATATATCCACTAAGTGTACCAGCAAAACAATCATGATCCACAGATGTCTGATTTATTGTTGTTTCCATTCTAAGTGCCCTCCAATGGTTTCGTGCTAAACAGCAAGCATCTGCATCTTCAATATGAACACCCAAAGTATCACCTTCAACAATGTTAATTCTTTCAGCAGCAGGTTGTAAAGTGTTAGGTATAATAACACCTCGATGCATTAAAGAAAATATACCACATTCTCTAACAAATCGATACCAAATATCACTTTCAAAAGAGTTCCCAGATGTAGAAGGCAAAGTATCATCGATTGAAAGGAATATATATTTTTTAAGAAGACGAAATATCTTTGCAGGTCGAATAATAGACATATCTACACTATCCCAAGGATGACAGAGAATAGCACACAAAGAAAGTGCTCCCACATCATTTTTACTTTCATTATATTTATCACTTTCACTTCTACTCAAAAGACTTTGTTGAATAATAGAGTGAAGAAAACTACATGAGGCTTTTTGTAGCTCTAATTCTCTATGAAATCCACATCCTATCATGGTTTCAATATAGTGATGAACTATTGAATCAGAACGTGAAATACCATTATCATTTGATAAATTACGAACATTTTCCTCATTATTAGAATTCAATGATCCTCCATGTTGTAAATAAGCAAGTTCTCGGTATAATAGATGTGAACTTACCAATAACCATGTCATATCTTCATCTGATTGGTGAGCCACACATAATTCTTCTTGTAATCTGTATGCTGCAGTATGTATTGTGGCTTGTTGTGCTTTTTTCACCAATGCAGCTATAAGTTCATCATTACTTATACCATCATAACCACGAAGAAGAAAACTCAATACTTGAGAAGAAACAGTTTCAGGTGTACTTTGTATACCTTCGCTAACCGCACCAGCACCAAGTAAAGAATTACGTGGACGTAAAATACTTCCCATTCCCCCATATTGAATATTTGAAAACTCTGATACACTAGTAGCTAGACGTCTCATAAAACTTACACTCTGACTTCCTGTTTTATCAAGAGAATATGAAGTAACACCTGTAACCGACCTAATATTTGGCATCATCAATCGTGTACTAGTTGATGGTGTTACTCGTGTAATTGGTTCCTCAGTTTGTTGCTGCTCCGCAATAAGAAATTCAATTCTAGCTCTAGGATTTACCATTTTAAGTAAGAATTCTGCCCTTTGTAACATTTGAGTTTCATTTCCTTGTTGAAGAGCTTCTAATATAAGAAAAGTTTTTTTTCTCATATATTCTAATGAGTCTTCTAGTAACTTTTGTAGTGAAATATTTTTTGGTCGATGAGAATGCCAAACATGAGCTGCACAAAATTTTCTCAAAATAGGTTCCAATCGTTCTTGATATGGTATACGTTTTTTACCATACATAGATAGCCAATCATTAAAAAGTGTACCAGTTTCTTCACACAATTGTATTAATTCATTTTGATCAGTTCGATCAAGATGAGACTCTTCTACTCCTGTAATAATGTGATGTTCTTTTAATGTTTCTTGTGACAAACCACCACGAAATAAACTTTCTCTTGGAAGAATAATCGTATTTGGAGGATCTGTTAAAAGAAGTTGATGGGTAATACGTAAAATTGTATGACTTAAGGCAAAACATGTATCACGAATCCAGTGTGTTGATTCAGTTCTAAGTTCAACTTGTGCATTCACAGTTATAATAATTTCTCGATTTTTTGTCGTCGGCATACAAGCAATTTCTAGTTTCCCACCATTGTCAAAATGTAGAGTTGAGTTACTTAGGGTTTCTACTAACCTTTTGTACTCATTTGTTAATAAAGAAATCTGCACCGATGGTGTTTCATCTGTTTTTAAGCTCTCTTGTACAAGTTCAATGCTTTTAGCGTGACGTAAATCTAGTACTGTGGTATGAGGACATGTTGCGGCTGCCGGGATAACGACTCTGTGTGTCTCTGTAAAACAATGGGTGACAGGCGGTGTTGACAATGCAGGTGCATAAGATACGAGAGACTCTCGCGTCTTGTTCAGCATGCTGAGTATATCAACCGCCACGGTACTATCAATCTCAAGATAAGATAAAAAATGGGCAATGGGAAACACCACAATCCCTATAGATGTTTGTCTTAACATATCAAGTTGTTCCAATGTTCGACCTTTACCACTCTGTTGTGTGATAGGAAATGTAGAATTAAACAATCGCAAGATTCCTTTACAGAGCGAACACATTAAAGCCACAGAAACTAGGTGCCACTGTGGATTTTTCTTTTGTGAAAGAATACCCAATAAAGTAGCAAGTGTTACATATGAAGGTTTAAAAGGTGTACTCTTACCGTTTAGTACAGACTCTGATTCCAACAGACATTCTTCTTTTAAACGATTAAGGAACGTCATAAATGGTTTCTTTAAATCTTTTTCAATTACACTAGAGACTAGAGATGGTAAATACTCTGGAACTAGTAAATCTTTCACATCTGTTAATTTTTTAGCTTCCATAATACGTTGTAATTGATAATCATGACTTACGCACTCAACAAGAAAGACACGATGCAACTGAGAGAACACATTTTGAGCTTCACTTAAAAATCCACCATTTTCGCAAGAAAATTCATGAAGTCTTTCATACATGTTAACTACAGTAGGAACCAATTTGGCCGGACATCCTCGTCCTATCCAACTCATTTGACGTGTTAACATTCTTCCACAAACACAAAGAAGTAAAAGTGTAAAATCATCCTCACACTTAGAGGATATCACTAACGTTATTAAGTCATTACACATATCAACAAGCCTTGAAAGAGTTTGTGGGGATGATCGGTTCCATAAAAAGATATGTGCAACATATTGTGCATTTGTAGAACTTGTTAAACCACTCAAAAGAGCGATATTTAATCTATGTAGTATGAATTGTGATAGTAATACTGGTGTGAGTTGTTGTTTATCTTTTACAAGGTTAAGTACTTTTGTACACACCAAAGTACTATTTTTAACACTTGTAAGGCTTCGTACATACCTTGTCGGTGTAGATAGTGCTTGAATCCATCTAAGATTTAAGAAACCACTTTTATCAGAAATAACACTATAAATACGATTTGTATATGTACATAAAAAGTACAGTTCACTTGGTTTAACATTCATAAACTGTTGTTCCAATATACGTCCTTCTGTGTTAATCCATGTGCAAAATCCATTTTCTACCATAACAGTTTCATATTCATTTGTCAGAACATAATAATCACCAGATGGTATATATGGAATCAACTCTGATTCCCTAACATATTTTTCTTGAGTTGTCGTTTGTGGAGCACACCATAAGGGAGTTGTACCTTTCCAAATATGACTCATGTTTTCACTTTGAAAGCAGCAACCAGAACCTTCATTCATTTTAAATGAACACATAAGACCACTTTGGTCTGTGTCTGAATTTTTTCCTGTTGCGGCAGCAACAAATTCACTTACAGATTGATACTTATTCCATATTTGTAACCCAGAAATATATCCATTAAACGTTCCTTCAAGAAAACTTATAGATGCAGCTGTTGGAGCTGCTCCGGCTCCTACTGTAGGTTTAAACATTAATCCTTCATTTCCACTACTATCAAGTAATACACCATCTTTGTAGATTTTCCATATAGCAAGATCATTTGATGGTACTAAGTTAGCACTCCAAAGAGTCCAACTATCTTGAATGGGTTGTTGAACTTCCGCTATAACATCGTCACTATGTTCAAAACGAATAAACAAGGATGAATTTCTGGCATCTAATCTAATTTTCACTGATAGCCATACTTTGCCAAAAACTTCAAGGTGAACGAGTTGTAGCGATGTACTTTGTTGGGTTGGTTGTGTGCATAAAAAAAATTGAACACTAAGAGCTTCGGTTATAGGAGGAATAAATATTGTTTTAGGCTCTAATGTTCCTTTAACCATTAAAGAAGCCTCAAATCTTGCATAACGTGGGGAATATTTGTCGTAGTAAAAATGAGGTAAAACAAATTTCCCCATTCCAATATATACCTGAAATTTATCTTCTTTTGATTTTATTTCATCTGCATCGGGTGAATTACAAACTTGTAGGGTTTCCAAATCAAAACAAGAGATTACCTTTGCACGAACTGACTGAATAACGATCCTATTATCTTCAAGAAAAACACCACAGCAATCTGTCACGTGTGCATCTTCATTTTTCTCCAGTACTGTATATGGTGGTTTTAGCATAATCTTGTATATTCCATTCTTGGTGATGATGATGCCTTGCGCCTCCTCCTCCTCGTGCGCAGCTACGGCGACGCCGAGAATGCGATGGGCGAAGTCGGCGCCAAGGGAGTGGGCGAGCGGCACATCGTACGCCTTCGACCAGGACGCCGGGAACGGCAGGCGCACGCGCGGACGGACGGCCGTCTCCAAGGCGGTGACCCACGCGGCGGTCCCCTGCAGACGCAGCGAGTCGGCGGGGCGCCGGTGGCGGTACACCCACCGCAGTGCCGACAGCAGTGTGTCCAGCCGCCGCGACGCGAGTACCATTTTGAATAACAGCGCCGTCGCGGCGGCAAGCCACTCCGAACTATCCGCATATCGCGGGGAGGCGGTCTCTCGTTCCGTCTGGATTAATAACATGCGAGTGAGACGCTGTACTCCCCAAGAGTGAAGCGTCGCACTAGAGGAGTTGATGCCACATCTATCTACCACACAATGTAATAGTTTAATAACTCTTCTCGGGATTTGTGACTCTAGGGATTCAGAGATAAAAGCCATCGTCCAGTCAAGAGAATCCACATGATTTACATCAGTAGAAGGAATAACAGTGCCATGGTGACTAAAATTCTCATCAGAATCAAGATCATCAGAATCTGTACACTCATCTTCCCAGTTCGAACAAAGAGAGTCTTCAGAGTAGAGGTGAACAGAAAGTGAAGCCTGTTCAACCCTTTTTGCTTCTGCATTTGCAGCTGCAGTTACAAGCAGCGATCTTAGAAAAACAGGTGTAGGAAACGTTTGTCGTTTCGCAAATTCAACTGCAGTGAGTCGCATAAAACGTGCCACCTGATCAGTGTCTAGGTAACGGACATTTACAACCTCTGGAAGATCAGGAAGTTGAGGAAACGGGGCATAGGCAAGAACCTTGGCAGCTGAAGGGACTAGTGGCCATGCCCTCGAAAGAAGATCAATAGAACTGTACTTCACCAAGTCCTCTAGACTTAGAGAAGTAATACTCTCAGTACCTACCCGAACATATTCTGACGGATATAACCCATTAGAGTGATTCCATATCGTCTTTTGTGGAGCTGTAGTGGAGTAGCGATAGACTTCCGGAAGCGTTGTGCTACGCCCAGTTGTAATTCCTTCTATATTTTCACGACCTGAAAAAGCTCGTGGCGGCCTCCTCCTACGACCTGAAACTCTACCCTCACCACCCCCCTGTTGTTGTTGTTGTTGTTGCTCTTGCTGATGCTGTTGTGGTTGACCGCCTACTGAACTATCTGTACTGTAATCATCATCGTCCGCCGTTGTAGTTTCTCTCAATTGTTCCTCTGGAATCATAAGACTTTGTGGAGGTTCTACTACAGTGCTTGTAACATTCCTTGAAGAATTTCCATTGGCTATGGTGGTTTGTGCGTGAGATGCCTCCTGTAAAACTGAAATAGGCTCCATTGCTATGACTAAATCAATATAAGAAAGAAAAATATACACTCTTTCTCTCTACTATTTGCTTTTTTCCCCTTTTCAAACACTTCGGTAGAAACGACCTGAATTACCAATAATCGTTTTTTTTTTGTTTTTTTTTTTTTTGTTAGTATATTTTCCTTTTTTATTGTTTATTCTTTCCTTTATGGTTGGTGAAATTCAAAATATGAAGAACAAAAGAAAATGTTATATTCACTCTCATGACTGAGTTGAACCGATGTCTCTCTCGGAGAGAGAGGAATAATAATAATAATAATAATAATAATAATAATAATAAACTACAGACAGAAAGGTAAACCTCGAGAATAAGTATGATTCTCGGGAAATTTATTAAAAAAAAAAAAAAAACGGAAAAGATTGGAGAATATATATCAACAAACTATGTGATCCGTACAATAATACTGTATAATGGCTTTTATACGTTTATCGTCTTCTTTTCAAAATTTCAATACTACAACAGTTATTACTACCTATTACCACTACGTTCATTCTCTCTCTCTCTCTCTCTCTCCCTCTTTCTCTCTGAAAGAAAAAAATATATACCTTACTTCGTTTAACTTGTTGTGATACCATTATGCTATCTGCCTTTTTTTTTTTTTTCTTTCTTCTTCCTTACATATCCACTGTCACGCGTGGGTCACCGCAGGGGTAGTTGGCACGGGGGCACCACCGCCAGTGAACATCAGATAGATCATAAAGAAGAATGCCGCAAATAATTATCACATATGAGACAAAAAACATGGACGTTGGAAATATACCAAAAATCGTCACATTCCAAATAATGCTGTATATGCTCACCGCAAGTAAGGAAACATTGGCAAAAGCTGCACTTGTGATCAAGAAAAGAGCTGGTAATCCCGTATAAACACACAGCATCGTTAGTCCAAAGAGCATTTGATATAACCAATTTTTGTTCGACCATGACCCCCTATTAGGAGCGAAACTTTTCCACTCTACAGCAAAAAACTGTATTGTGGCAAACACCAGTGCACATGCAGACATACAGCATAAATTTTCCACTAGGGGAATATACTTTGGCACATCTGGTAATACATCTGTCACTTCTTCAAAGGTTTGTTGACCCCCGTGTCGCTGCGCCGTTTCCTCCCCATCCATCATCTGTGTATTCTTCTCAACCTCACCAGTACGAGTATTATTGACAGAGTCACTGAAACCATCACGGACCCTTCCTGATGGTTGAGTCTCACGATATGTAAAAACCACGTCACCAAGATTGTCACCACACTCTTCCCTCGTACCTGTTACACCTAAAGGCTCTGTCATCTCAATTTGTCCACCACTGAATTGGGGCTTTATAAAACTTTCAGTTAGTACATTACTTGTAGCGTAGAGAGCAGCTGAAAGGAGACACAATAAATCACCCTTAACAACATTTTCTCTCACAATATCACGTGATATACCGTCAGCATCCAAAACAACAAGAAGTACCAAACCACCTGTAGCAATAATACATCCAATTATGTGTGTGAGGGCAAAACGCATTTTCAAGATAAAGAAACTAAGAATAAGTACGCATGGAATGCTAAAACATCCCAAAAGCTGGGCAGATATAATATCTGTATACTGGTATGCTTTGACAACAACAAAATTTGCCTCCATATCAATAAGACCTAGAATGGCATATTTCCATGGACGATAAAAAAATTTATAATTTTTATACCGTTGATGTCGACTACGAAAGTATAGAATCAATAATAATGGCGCGTAAACAACAAAAATAAATGCATATGCAGTAACAGACTGAAGAAGAGGATAGCTGGCGTCGTCATTCACCAGCATGGTTGTTGACACTCCGGTAAGGGAGTTCAAAAAGGCTACTCCTTGCCCTAAGAGAACATGAAATAATAAAACCTTTAATGTTTTGAGTCTCATCTGCTCCCCAAATAGAAACTCTGTAGCCTTTTAAATAATAATAACAATTATTGTTATTATTATATAAAAAAAAGTTTTCCTTTAATCATAATAAAAATAAAAAAAAATAAAAATAAGAGCAAGGATAAAAAGAGGGGATAAATAAAGAGTAAAATATATTTTATGGAGAAAAAAAGAAAAGAAAGATAATTACAAAGTTACACAAAAGAAAAACAGAAACACATACACACACATAGCGAGAGAGAGAGAGAGAGCATGTGAAGAAGCAAATAACGATGTGAAGCTCAAAGTTCAGATATAAATCGTTACAAAGCAAATCAGTTACTGAATTTGCTTTCTGTGAGAACGAATTGCCTTCAACATTTCGCGATATGCATGGTTAGAAAAAAAGGAAGCCATCATTCGCTGGGCCCACATTGGAACACTGCTTGGTATTTGCACATCATTAGCGGATGTCATAATCATAAGTGTCCCATCCAATCTTTTTGTTTCCTTATGCAGACGGACACTATTCATGAAGGCATCATACACAAGCTTTGTGGATTTTTTATCCACCATGCTTCCACCGAAAGAAAGAGGCATAGGGTTTGACCAAAGCTGCGACGCAGCATCAGCGATAGGAAGGATTAGTATGTGTTGATAATTGACACTTACACGAGTTGCATCATGCTCTTTCTCACATAAATTCAACCACTCCGCAAACTTTTCAGACTGATCATTAGATTCATTTACTGCTTCATCCGTTCCACTGTAAAGTACGTCATACATCTTTAAAGATGTGTTCGTAGTGTCAACATTCAAGGGTGTATAGCAGACTGAGCTGCGTTCATAAACAAAAAGACGATCTGCAATTCCAAATTGCTCTAAAAGTTTATGTCCAACACGGTGTGCAAACCAACCATAGTCAATCACACTTCTTCGGATATCAGGAATCAAAACACAGCAATTATTTTGGCATATAGGATTTTTCTTTGCAACCATTTCAATTGGTCTTTCAACTGTATTCAAACAATTTAATACTTTCGTTTCAGTACTATCATCCCATTTTCTGAACATATGATAGTTGTGATCCCACTCTTTGCGTCGTTGCAGGTCCGTCATACATTCAAAAACTTCTTCAGGGAGAACATCGGGTAAAAAACCAACAACTCGCATAAACGGGGCAGGACGTCCATTTTCTGAATTAACTGGGTAAGGAGAGCCAAGTCGCAAAACTTGTATTTTAGGTTCTTCGCACGATCGCTTTGTTACACTTCCCTTTGGAAAGTTGTTAGATTCCACATTCCATTCCTGTTGTCTTTCGTCGAGAAAACGCATACAGTCCCATAACTGTCCTGATGAAGTGGGAATATCACTCAGCGTAAGTGTTGGTGTTTCCTGAGATAGAACAGCAGGATCTTGTCGGTAGAGCCATGAAACGGCGGCTGCGGTGGCCACTGTTGCACTCACAGCGACACCCTTCCTGAGTATAACCCACGGCATTACCAAATACCCTTAAACCAAACCTAATTCAAAACAAAATAAAATAAAATAAAACAAAATAAATTAATTAATTAAACGCATTAAAAACTCTATTCACTACTTCCAATATGTTTAATTTGTATCTCTGTGCATTTATGTGTAGACAGAAGTGGAAGAAAAATAAAATAAAATAAAAAAAATAATGTAGTTTGTAATAATAATACCCCCATTCCCTTAAAATATTTCTCTGTTTTTCTTTAGACAAAAGTGGATTTCTTATCCAATTGTAGTAACAAACATTCGAGTTCCTTCTCAGCCAAGATAGTGCTCGGATAAAGTTGATCTGCGTTTACAACGCACATGAAGCTACTAGGTGTGTGAATCATTACTGGCATCTCTGGTGCAACTTTAATCCACTTGAGTACAACCGTGGAAACCCACAAGCCAAGAGGGCGAAGGTGACCACCATATTGTGAATTGTAAAAAGGCTTATATATAGACTTTTTCGGTACAATAAAGAGATGCTTTAATGTCTCTGGTACAGAACACCAGTGTAGTTTCCCATCAGAACATGCTGAAGATGAAAGTACCAAGTCACACTTCGTAGTGGAATTCGATAATGTCGATCTTTCTGATACGTTCACAATCTGAGTAACTGGACATTTACGTAAAATTATTTCTGAAAAATGGGAGGATGCTACAAGTGGAAAAAAGCTCTCTCCCATCAATGGATACCAAATGTTAAGAGGACTCTGCATGTGCCTCAGTGTAAGGTTAAGACCTGCTGCGAGCTCCCAACTAAGCCACAAGGGACTCCCAAGTCTCTGCATATGTGCAAAGTGTGTTAACTGTCGAAGGATACATTTGTCTGTAATGATCTCTTTCTTGTCTAACAAATAGTGTTTGAGGGTATACGAGTGCTGTTTTACCCCCAAGTCCATCTTGTGGCAAGAAGCATAAATTTGTAGTAGTGTATACAAAAAAAAAAAAAAAAAAAAATTTAAGAATTTGACAGAGTGGAAGAATTAGCAAAGATAGATATACAGATAGATATATAGATAGATATAGAAAAAAATGATATAGAAAAGAAAATAAAT